GCAAGATGAACCTCTCTGAGGAGGTTGACCTGGAAGACTGTATCCTGCTGTGGAAATGAGGGAGGGAGCCCAGTGCAACATGGTGATTGGGTCTTCTTCATCACCACTAGCAGACTGTGCCAGGAGTATGGGGGAAGGTCCGGGGAGGAGGGGTGGTGACTAAGACAGCCTCAGGACCAGCTCCAGGAATTACCTCACCAAGTCAGGAATGGTTTCTTTAACTCGGCTGCTATAGATGTGGCTCGGCCAGATAAGATTTCAGGAGCTGATATCAACTCCATCTGTCAGGAGGTGAGCAGTTGTTTCTCTCTGATCTGAGCAGGGATGTTTGAAGGTTTCCCCTTCCCCAGTACCACCCTTCTTCCCCTCATTGCCTCCTTGGAGTTTTAGGTTCCATGTTGGGGTGGGGGGGTATGGACTTTTCATTCCCATCCCTTCATAGAGTGGAATGTTGGCTGTCCGTGAGAACCGCTACATTGTCCTGGCCAAGGACTTCGAGAAAGCGTACAAGACAGTGATCAAGAAGGATGAACAGGAACATGAATTTTACAAGTGATTCCCCTGCACATACACCTACCCACACTTCCCCATCACCTGTCCCAAAAGCTAGTTTTCTCTTTACCCAGGATTGGTTTAGTCAATAAATGGACATGATTGAATCCATTTAATTTCTTCTTAGGTGTTTAACTCCTTTGGGGAAAATGGGCCTGAATAGGATGCGCTGGGTCCCCTCCTTGCCTCCAGGTAGATAATGAAGTTCATGGCCTGGATTGCAGCTTGAGAGAAGCAAAGAATTTGGGCAAGATAACTTGAGAGATTTAGTAAAAGGAATGGGACATGAACCTCAGACCAAAACCCTGACCACAGAATAAGCCCCATCTTCATTTCCATAAGTAGACGATTTGGGTTTTCAGTGGTTTCTGCCTTCCTCGCACTTGGGAATATCAGGGACAGACATAGCCCCTTAGTCCCCAGAGCAGAGCGTGGCTATGGGGTGAGAGGATATGGTCACATGCCCAGTTCTGTGAATGTTTCTGGCTGTTCTCTCTCCATACAGCCATCTCAGCACAGATGTATTTGGTTGCCAAGTGAACAGTCCCACCAGTACACACACTTGGCTGCTGGTTAGGGGCAGGTCACCAAGATGTTCTCTGCCCTGGGCACACTGAGTTTCTGTTAGGCATGTTACTCCTTATATGAACTATAACTCCTGGCTGAATGCACTTCTCTACACAAGTAAGACTTTCTTCTTGAGTCACATGTAACTTCTAGCAAAATCCTTTTCCAGGCTTCCATCATACTTGAGGCTTTCCCTTCAGTTTGGCCTGGTGTCCCCTGGGGTTCAATTTCTGGTTAAGCTTTGCCTGTCTTCACCATGTGTAATACTTCTTCCTTGGTCATCTGTGCAGAAAGGCTAGCTGCCTCCTGTGATGACCTGTCGCCTTCTCTGCTATTAAGTGCAGTTTAATGTGGCTACCGTCTCTGGGTCCTTTAGGACATCCAGACCCTATCAGGGCCTCTGGGCTTCACTGTGTCTTGAAGACACAGGTTCCCCTCTAGGCCTTTGAACATGCTCTTTCTTAGACAGCCTAGACTATCCTTCATTCTTACCTGACCAAATCTCTTAATATAGTTTAAGTACATCTTCCTTTCAGTAGCTTCCCAGACTGCCACCCAAGTGAGAAAGGAGTCCATTTCCCATGCTCCCTAGAGCCTGTCCATGGTCTGTTTAGCAAAGCTACCCTCCTTTAGACTGTAGGCTGCTAGACTTTCTTCCCTTTAGACTTGAATCTAGAGCAGTCAGGGAATGTGGCTTGACCACAGTTCAAGCTCCATCTGCTGCACATAGTAAATACTTGGGTGATTTTAAAAACATTCGGAAAATCGATGGAATCTTCCCATAAGGGCATAAATTAAAATAGTGGGGGAATCTCAGGTCCTTGAAGAGAAGGGGGTGATCTTTCATAACTGTCAGGTTGGGAAGAAAAGTAGTTTTTCCTCTTGAAACCTCAGTAAAGTGAGCTAAGGAGTAAGGGGTGGACCATAGGGGCTAAGGGTAGAACTAAGCAACACAACTTTGGAAACTAGATGCTCACTTCCTTAGCAGACCTGAGGAAATAGCCTGAGCTGAAAAAAAGCGAGGGGAGAATCAGACACATTCCTTTTTCATAGAAGTCAGGAACCAAGGTACCAGGTTCTGAATTTGAGGGCTGTATATAAATAAGCCCCCCGGGGAATGGGAGGTATACAACCTGAACAGAATACCCCCATAGACTTGAAATTGCCAGTTGCTGTTTCCCGTGGTGCAGCTTGAAGCATCTTAAAACTCCCATCAGTCTCACCTGTAAAATGGCCATAACTCAAGTCCCAGCATTAGTAAGACGAGGCATGAAATCACATGAAAACAGCATAAAGCTCTAGATAGGGAGAGGGAGAACCAAAGCTCTCCACCTCTGAAGGCCTCTGCAGTAACTTTCCCTATGTGATTGACTCCCCATAGCAGAGCTGCAAATACCAAGGCTGATTTTGCTACTGTTGAGAGTTGCTCTCTCAGTACTTCTTCCCTGGTACACTAGAGGGACTGATACTCCCCCTCTTGTCAAAGGCCCCACAGTGTACACGAAAAACTAAGGTGTTTGGTTTGGTTTGGTTTGGTCTTTTTGAGACAGGGTCTTCCTGTAGCCCCAGCTGGCCTGGAACTCTCTATGTAGATCAGGCTGGCCTTGAACTCATGGAGATTCCCCTGCCTCTGCCTCCCAAGTGCTAGGATTAGAGATGTGCATCACCACATCTGGCTGTAAGTTTATTTTTTAAGATGAGGTCTTTTTGTATTGTGCCGTCCCTACGACCACTACGCTCAAGGGATCCTCCTGACTCAGCCCCCTGTGTAGTAGGACTACATGTGTACCAACCACACTGTTTTACAACTTTGTGGCACAGAGGGTTTTTCCTTGAGGGAGTTGGCATTTGGATTTTGGAAAAATAGGAACAGAACTGAAAAATGATTCAGATAGAATGTTCTCAAGGGTTCAAACTCAAGTCAATTTTACATTTGCCCTGACCATTTCTTTAACTTGAAGTTTTTGAAAAAATCTTCGAGATGGGGACATCCAGAGATGGAAACCCTATCGTTTCTTCTCTCTATTCATATGATGCTTCACAGGGCCTTGTACCATTTTCATTTAGGTGAAATGACCCAGACTACTAGTAACTTTAATATGTAATTCTAGGGGTTGCAGGTTTCCTAAGCAGATTCCCTGTACCCTTCAGTAGCATTTCTTTGGGTTTTAACTACTTCAGGTTAGTTAGCTTATCTCAGATGAGACTGCAGTGTCCATATTGCTCAGTAGTTAATGACTCCACTGATCATAGTGCCAAGCACTAATGTGGTACATGTCACTACAAAGCTTACACAGACAAGAGGGCATGTCACGGCGGCACAGATCATGCCACAGCTATCCCAGATGACTCAGACATGGTCTGCCATGGAAGGGGAGATAAAGATCATTTTTATCCAGAATTTGGTGCTTGGTCTCCTGGTGACATCATCTATTGACTTGCTCTCATAAATTTTCCCCAAACACTTGGACATTTGGCCTTTTCTTCATTATCTTAAGGTACATATACTTAAATGGGGGTATAAGGCCCAAGTGGTGTTGCCCAACACTGCAACTCTTACCGAGGTAGGGATATATCAGGCTCAAGGAAGGCAATCTTAGAACCCAGAGCCCTGCAGGTGTCCTCTGGCTTGCACCTGATACAGCTCTTTTTATATCCATGAGCTCATGCTATCACATTAGTTTTAATATATCACCAGGCTCATTAAGTTTTCTCCCTCTTCATATGTGTTTCTGCTGCATATGACACAACGGGTTCAGAGATTCCTCAAAGGATGGGGCAGGATGAAAGGAAAGACACATTTAATTAGAATCTCAAGAGGGTACCAGGAGGCACTCTGCTGAAGGAACAGAGGCCCTGAGTTCTTGTCCCACTGGGTATTTATTAGTTTACATAAATAGAACAAATAAAGACCATTACTCAGTGTAGACAGTCTTGTGAAAACTTTCTTAAGACCTTTTGGTATGCTACTTTAAAACACGACTTGTTTTCTAAGAGGGAAACTAGCTAAGCATAGCAACTTAGGACGTGTGGTTAGAGTGCTCTTCAGGTCTGGGGTCTGGGACACTGCATTCCTTTATCTGCCTCAACACCCACATCTGTGGTTCACATAGGCATCCTTGACTGCAGGTGCCGTTGTCAAGCATGCTTTCAGCAGTGTTCAGGTCAAGCAGTCCCAGCAGACCAAGAAGCCAGGCTCCCATTGCAGCTACATTTGCATACTGGACTACTCTGGGACTAAGAACCCATACATTGCTTCCATCCCCTGCCTTATACATTGGCTTTTATCACTCTACTTGGGGTTTTTACATCACATGAATAGTTAGTTATTTGGCTTCCCACACCCAATGCTGAGCAGATGAACTCCTCACCTGCTTGGGCTCTGAAAGCCCTCTCCAGGCTCCCCGTTCCAGTTCCATCCCTCACCACTTGGAACATGTTAGGCTCTGGCATCTTGGGCTGTACAGTCCCCCGCATGAAAATCCTCACTTGCCCTGGCAAGCCCTGAGCTGTGAGCCACCTTATGGCTCTAAAACCGAACTTTTCAGGAAGGGGCGAGGAAGTGCAGACTGCCTTGTCATTTGAAATAAAGCAAATAGTTCTCTGACCTATCAAATAGTTCTTTGACACGACTCTTACTAATTGTTTCACAGCCAAATTACACACATTTAACCCACCACAGCCAGAGGCGCCGTCAATCCACCTTCACAGTGACACTCAAACGCTCGCTCATAAGGCCTGGCGCAAGGGGCCGCAAGTTCACCTTTAACATGTACTGAACCCCTGTTCTGTACTGTAGGGTGTGTGTCGGGGCGGGGTGGACAAAATTCTGCCTTGAGCTTGCGTTCTGGCCTCCTGCCGAGGATGGGCTAGCAGAGACTGCCATGGGTGTGAGCGCTCAGCTTCACGTGCAGTTCCTCGGATGACAGCGCGGCCGGAACCACGCGCGCCTGCGCAGGCACAGTCGGCGCCCAAGCCTTGGACTGCAGTTCCCAGAAACCCACTGGAGGAAAACGCCTGGACACCGAGAGCTCTTTCCTCTGCGCTCGTCGGGTTGGGCGGTAGTCGCCTCTCGGGGAGAAGTCGGCGCCCGGTGAGTGGAGCGGGACTCAGGCGTGTAGACGCGGCCGGCTCCCGAAGTGAGGCGTAGACAGGGCGGGTGGTGCGGGGGCCTCGGCCTTGCGCGCTGAGGAGCCGAGGGGTCGCGTGTGCCCGCAAGACCGTGTCAGGGCCGGGCGGCCCCGGGCCCGCAGCTGCTGCTGATGCCGAGACCGGCTCTCGGCTCCCCCGCGGTGTCATTCACGCAAGCTTCCGGGCCTTTTCCCGTCTTCCCTCACCGAACACCGCCGAGGAGGATGCTGTTAGGATGCAGGTTTTCTGGAAAAAGACGCAGACAGGCGTGGGATTGGGATGGGGCATCGGGGTGGGAAGTGTCGCTGAGCGGACTCCTGAGACCGCGGGGTGGGAGTCGTCGTCGTCCCCCCCCCCCAGGTGCTGTGGGGCTGCCCTTCTCAGACCACAGCATTCCCGCTCCTCTGAGCCAGGAACCTGCCGTGCATCCAACGAATTCCAACATCTTTCCCATCAGAGGAGAGAATTATGGTAGCACATCTATTAAGTACATAACCATGGGAGTTTGCTTCTGCTTGTGCATCAGATGCATTTGCCTTTCCGTGAAATGTCTAGGGATTTTCCTTCCCAGTGAATGATGGACCATACATTGAATTCCGAACCTCCCTGATCTCCAAATGCCCCAGTCCTTATTTTTTCATATTATTCCTAGGCACCTTTTAAATAACATGGTAACTAAATTCATAACTAGATCCAATGTTAAACCTTTATCTTATTGAACTTAGTATTCAGGTATAGTGACGTTATTGATTTCTAAAGACCACAGTTTAAGGCCAGATCAGAGATGTTTGGTGGGTTTTAGTGACATAGCATTCTTTGTAATGCTTTAAGGAACGGGAATATGATTGGAAATCTGATTATGCAAACCTCTGTCAATATATACTTGGATTTTTCCAGGGAATGAATTGAGATTTGTAGTTGTAAAGATTCAGTTATAAGAATTAAAAATATTTATGTTCTTTGTAATGAAAACAAATTTAAATTAAATCAAATTTAAATTTACTATGAATCTTATTTATTAATATTGGGATTTAATAAGGATTAAATTTTATAAGGATTATACCTAAAGTAATACTTGAATTAATTATTCAGCCAAAAATAGAGGAAGAATCAAATACATTTCTTTATGTTGTGCACAAATTTTCAAGGCTCTAGGTTTGATCCCAAGAACCACACACACAAAAAAATCTCTTTTCGTTCTGTACATGCTGCTCACTGGACTTATGTTCAAAGAATTTTGATAGTAAAAAAGGTCTTGTGGGGCTACAGAGATGGCTCAGAGATTAAATGAACACATGTTGTTCATGCAGAGGACCCAAATTTAGTTCCCAGCACCCAAGTTAGAAGGTTCACAACTGCCTGTAACTCCAGCTCCAGGGCATATGACACCCTCTTCTGGACTCCTCAGGCACCTGCACCCACACATCTACATACTCACATGCACACACAAATACACATGATTAAAATGTTTTTAAAATATTTACAAAATGCCAGGTGTGATGCTGCATGCCTTTAATCCCAGCACTCAGGAGGCAGAGGCAGGAGGATCTCTGTGAGATCGAGGCAAGCCTAGGCATTATTGATAATTGTCACACTGATTCCCCTATTGTTTCCACATTTATCAAATTAATTTATTTTCAACATGTCAAAATTTGTATTTCAAAATTAACTTGGGTACAGACTTACTATATACTTTGGATTATGAAATTAATACTTTCCCCAAAAAGTTTGCTTACTCATTTATATTACGTAAGACAGAGCTTCTTGAACTTTTTATACTTGTGACCCCTTCTTGAGGAGGAAATTTTTACACAGCTCCACATATATAAATATATAAGCTGGGTACATAAATCAAAAATTTACTGGATAAAAAAGATTTATTTTAGGGACTGGAGAGATGGCTCAGCTGTTAAGAACACTGGTTGTTCTTGCAGAAGACTGGGGTTCAAATCCCAGCACCCACATGGCAGCTAACAACTGTCCGTAACTCCAGTCCCAGGGGATCTGACAGCCTCTTCTGACCTCCGAGGGCATTGCACGACACCGGTGCACTTACCTACATGCAGGCAATACACACACATAAAATAAAAATAATAAATAAAAATTTTTTTAATTTATTTTAAAACAATTCTTTAGGGAGTTGCTAGAGAGATGGCTCGGCGGTTAAGAGCATGTATTGCTGTTACAAAGCACCATAGTTCAGTTCCCAGCACCCAGACCAGATAGCTCACAACTACCTGCAACTCTAGCTCTAGGTGATCTGATGTATCTGGTCTCTTTGGGCACCTGCACTTACATGCACATACCAACTCACACAGAGACATACATAAACACAGTTAAAAGTCAAATAAATCAAGGCCAGCCTGATCTACATAGTGAGTTCCAGGACAGCTGGGGCTACAGGGAGACCCTGTCTCAAAAAGACCGAAAAAAAAAAAAAAAGTCAAATCTTTGCTGGGCATGGTGGTACATGCCTTTGATCCCAGCAGAGGCAGGCAGATCTCTGAGATCAAGGCCAGCTTGCTCTATATAGTGAGTTCCAGGCCAGCTGGAAAAAAATTAATCTTTAAAAAAAAATTTTTTTAATTCTTTGTAATTCCTACAATTTTACTAATTTGGGGAGGGGTCTTTTTGAGACAGGGTCTCCCAGTAGCCTCAGCTGGCCTGGAACTCACTATGTAGACCAGGCTGGCCTTGAACTCAAAGAGATCCGCCTGCCTCTGCCTCCCGAGTGCTGGGAATAAAGGCATGCAGCACCATGCCCAGCTCAATTTTACTAATTTTTAAAGACAAAAGAAAATTTACATACTAGTGAGATAGATATGAAGAATTTTCATATAAAGAATTACATTTTCACTGAATAGTGGCACTGCAGGACATAGAGCATCTTCATCATTTTTCATAGTTGATCAATATTTATAATTATCAATGCCAAAAATGCTGCTTTGCATAAATATGTAATTCAAAATTGCAGATGTATTTTTAGAGCTATTTCAGAAATTTATTGCCGATTCTGTCTAATCCCATGCCAAAATTCATTTAATGATTTTTAAATAAAACTTGTCATGAATTCAAACAGCAATTTTAAAGTCAAATATTCTAACAATACAATCCAAAGACATACTAATTTGATACTTAGATGCTGAAGAATGATGGCTTATTTTCTGTAATTCAGCATTACTTTTCTGTGAAACTTTCTACAGTAAAACAACTGTGATTCATAACACACAGCAGTCTTAGATATGAGCCAGTGTGTCAGACTGCATTCATTTTTGTTCCTTGTCATAACTGCATGTAGGATGTAAATTGTGTGTGTGTGTGTGTGTGTGTGTGTGTGTGTGTGTGTGTGCATGCAGAACCAAGACTATGTTGAAGTTGTGGGATGCAACATGGGCAAGTGCTTTCAGGAGCACCTCGAATACATTATGTGTTCAATTTTTAATTAATTTGATTTCAGAAACCTTTTACTCTTGACAAGTTTTTTGTGATCCTGCCCCCACCCTCACTCAGTTACATGACCCCATAGGTTTAAGAAGCTGGGATGTAAGGGACTTAGAAGAAAACTTAAAGTTGCTCTATCGTTACTGGAAATATTCAAGAGACATAGATTTTAGCATAATTTTTCTGTACACTGGTGAGGACATGTATATGTGCATGCTTTTATTTCTTCAGACTAGAAATTGCACTGACTGGTCAGGCATGGTGGGACACCTTTAATCCCAGCATTCAGGAGGGAGAGGCACATAGAGCTTTGTGAGAATGAGGCCAACCTGGTCTTTATAATGAGTTTCAAAGTTCCAGGCAAACTGGCTACAGAAAGACCCTGTCTATAAAATAGAAATTTAAAAAAAAAAAAAGAAAGAAAGATTGCACTGATTGTTATATTTAATGAATTATTCATGTTCAGGCTTCATTCAAAGAAATCTTGGACTTTAAGGAAACACAGAATTGAAAGTTAGTTACCTTTATTAAAAGACATCTCTGTCTCTCATTAACTGTGAATTTGGGTGAGGAATTGTATTCTGAACTCTTTACCTCTCCCTTTACATAGATGACTACATGGCCTTGTGATAAAAGACCCATCACATAAAAGATCCTTAAAATGTTTGGATTTTTGTCACCTGATAACCATGGGCATGAATTCACACCTCACCTTAAATATTAAGATAGTAAGAGGGGGCTGAAGAGATGGCTGCAAAGGACCTGGGTTGAGCTCCCAGTACCTATGCGGAGGCTAACAACAGTTCCTGGGCACTTAATGCCCTCTTCTGCCTTTCACAGGTATTACATGGCATGGGTACACTTAAATACAAGCTGGCCAAACACTCATACACATAAAATAAAAATAAATAAATTTTAATTTAAAATAGTGAAAGCTGGGAGTGGTGGCACATGCCTTTAATCCCAGCACTTGGGAGGCAGAGGCAAGTGGATCTCTGTGAGTATGAGGCCAGGCTGGTCTACATAGAGAGTTCCAGGCCATCTAGGGCTACAGGGAGACCCTGTCTCAAAAAGACGGACGGACGGATGGACAGATGGACAGATAGATAGATAGATAGATAGATAGATAGATAGATAGATAGATGGATGGATGATGGATGGATGGATGGATTAATGGTTGAGAGGTAGTCAGTGATTCCATGCAGGAAATCAAAATAGATAATCCTGAGACGAAATAGACATTTTTTAGAAACAGCCCAGAGGATTCTGAGGACTGTAGTTCTGACTAGGCAAAGACTCCATATGGGCAGTTACAGTTTGCAATGCTTTTTTCTGCCTCTGTGTCTGTGACATCTAGGCACATCCCCAAGCCATGAATGATAATCAGGTTTGCATGGGATAGGCCCTACTCAGCTCTAAAGTGGACATGTATAGAAAAGGATCTGCTCAGTAGTTCATATACAGATGAGTATCATCAGAAATGAGGATGGACCTGAGGCTGTTCTGCTGTAGTGACTTGTCTGACTCCATGCAGGAATCCTCTGCTGTGCATTTACCACCTATTTCCCATAGTGTAGGGAGGAGTTGGACCTTCTCTTGTCTCTCCTGTTTTATATATGCAGTGTTAGGGGCCGGATACAGAAAGGAGGGAAAACAGCATCATGTTAGCTTGAGTCATTTTGGAATTCTGAGACAAACCTTGTCTTAAAGTCACTTGTTTCTCTTATAGCCGTGTCTTCTATGGACTCTTCTTCTCCGGTTGAAGAAACACCTGGAGGATTGACAGTTTCTTGCAGTTCTAAAATCATGGCCCATGTAAGTCTCTATTTTTCTATTTTGAAATACTGAATTTTAAATTCATGTGATCATTTTCATTTTAATATTTACAGTCCTGGGGTTGAACCCTGAGCCTCACATATGCTAGTCAACCATTCTGCTACTTCCTTAGGACCTTTTTTATTGCTGTGGCAAGTACCTGAGAGAAACAGTTTAAAGGGAAGAAAGGTTTATTTTGGCTCATGGCTTCAGTATATCGTCAGCTGATTCCATTGCTTTGGGCCAGAGGTAAGGAAGAAATAACGTGGCAGTGGACACTTGTCACAGAACCTGCTCACGTTTTGGCAGCCAGAAAGCAGAGAGAGAGAAAGGAGAGAGAATGGAGGAAGGAGAGAGAGAGGGAGAGAGATCATCTGGACAGGGTTTATCTTTCCAGAGCATTCTTCCATTGACCTTCCTTCAGTTTAGCCCTACCTTCCAATAATGCTGTGAAATTATAAATCTGTCAGTGGATTAGGTCAGAGCTTTCTCAGTGGTTGGGTCCACAAGCTAGGCACTGACTCTTCAACACGTGAGACTTTGGGGATGTTACTTTACGTCCACACCACAGCTGTTGAGCTGTCACTGCAGTCAACATGCAGTCATTCTTTTTTTTTTTTCCACTTATCACTGTATTTATTCAAGGTTCTATTCCATCTCAAACAAACAGAAACAATGTCAAGTTAGGAACCACATTTCATACATATGTTTTTGTCATTAGCATCTAGCACATCATCTGGAAAATAGCAGCTATTTCATACCCTTTAGGAACCAAATTATTTTGTCAATAGATCACAGTACACCAAGCAATATAGTCAGTTAATATAGAACATACTGTAGCTGAAAACCCCACCTGAAAAAAAAATCTAAAAGCAGCAATCCCCTAAAATTTGGCAGAAAGTGAAAAATTCATTCCCCTTCTGGCTAGAATGAAACCAAAGTCTGTGATTTTCAAGTAGTGGCAAACATGACACTCTGATAGGGGAAACCTAAGAGGCCTCAAGAGCCACACTGGAACATATTTTTGTGGGTTTGCTCACTACACGGATCACAGATTCACCACACACCTCAGTAACTCAACCGTAGTCTGGTCATTTAGCCAATAAACTATGTGCATGGGAAAAGTATCTCCATGACAGTCTTTGCCATGTGAGAAGTGAGGTCATAGCTAATGAAGAGACAATACTCCAGTTGCTAATTCAAAGCTCTGGCCTGGGGCAGACAAGGGGAAAAAACGAGCTTATTTCCTAATGCTGCTAAGTCTTACCTTCATAGTCATAAACCAAAGAGGAATAGAAAACAAATAGCACATAATTTTGTATTTTTATAATAAGTTTGAAACTAAACACTAAGAAACCTTGTCAGCCCCTGCTAAGCGGATTCCAATTAAGGCTCTGGCAGGGTTCCAGCTGTTTTACTCCTCAAATAGCACAGAGCATAACAAAGTTTATGACGCATTCAAAAGTCAAATACCCTATTAACATAAATATGTAGTGAAATCAAGTCTTCTACCAATTTTCAGCTTGCTTTCTTCCTTTCATGTGGGGTAGGCTGATAGAAGCTGAAGCCTGTTTCTCTTGTGACATCTTGGCATCTTGGCTTAGAATGCAAAGCAAGGCTTCCTTTATAACACAGTGTACTAACTCCGGTTCCCTACTCACAAGGACACTTTCATTATAATGAATTCGTTCTTATACTGGTTTTGGTATCAAGAACACTAGCTTTTCCTTTCTGTTGCAATACTGAGCCTAAAAACAAGAAAAATAAGATTCAGTGGTTCAGGCTCACTTGTTTATTGTTTGATTCACATGTGCCCCCCCCCCCATCAACTAGGAAATGGATTTGTTAACACGGGCTGTCACTGCCAAGATTTAATATAAGAAAAGGTTACTTCCTTGGCCATGGAAGTCAAACTCCAAATTGAAAGATATAAGCAAGTAAAATGTTTAAAGTGAAAGAAAATAAGCAAAAAATTGAAGCAGTAAGTTTTTTTAAAGGTTCACTTTAGGAAATAAGAAGAAGGCTAGTCTGTCAAAAGCCAGCACCCTTTTTGGCAAATTCCTTAAAAGGTGATAAGTTAAATGGAACTATGTCTCTGGAGAGCATCAGAGATACATCTTTCTCTTACCATACAATTCAGTCATTTGGAAGAGGAACTGTGTAACGTAGCTTGTTTTGCTCTCCAGTGATCTATAGAACTGTTCTTTCTTTTTTCATTTTTAATAACTACATGATTAGAAGAAGCATTTCAGTATAGCTGTAACATATTCAGTAACACACTCCAGAGCAAGAGTATATCTCCTTCACAAATGGGTGCAAGTGTCTAGGTTCACAATTGAATTAATACCATTATACAATATTGAACTCAGTATAAGCCTTGTGAGACATAAAATTGAATGAGTTTTTAACCTTTAAAAAAGATCTTCATTTCATTTTAGAATATATTGTTCCTTGCAGAAAGACTCATTGTTTTTGCTACTAACACTGAGATGTTGGCGCATTCATCTCTAATCTGTATGTATCTGATTATTACTAGTCATAATTGTTGCACTTGGATCCTTGGCACCTGTGTATGTCTATAGAATCATCGGGTAGATTCCAATGGTAATATTTATAACCTCTACTAATTAGCATGATGTAAATTTCCATGCTTCCTCCTCAAATATAATACATTTCTAAAAATTTGTTGATTTTGTGTGTGTGTGTGTGTGCGTGCATGCATGTGTGTATCACACAGAACATCCCAAACCATCTTATTCAACTGTACACCC